ATTGTTGTGTTGTTATTATTGGATACAAAAAATTGTGATTAAAATATTTTTTTAAAGTTTTCAAATTCTTTTTTAATTTTCAAAAATGATAAAAATATAAGCAAATTTTAATTTAACGAATTTTGTTTCTTTCAAAACATTTGGGTGGGTATAATATTTATTTTATTAAAAGTTTTTTTTTTATGAAATATTTGTATGTAATAAATAATAAATAAAAATATATATATACTTTCTTTTTTTGCATATACATTATTTAGCTGATTAAAAATTTTAATTTAATAAAATTATAAAAATTTTATTTAAAATAGTTCTATTGATATTTGCTTTATTAATTTATGAAATTATATGTGATAAAATATGTATACATTACATACTCTAGCGTCCGTTCAAGTTGAGTCACATTTCTACGCCTCGTGTAACGCGGAGCCCAGCTCACTCCTCCGACCGCCCGCCCGTTTGCTCCGCCGGCACATATATGCAAAAGCAACTATATACTGTATATACGCGAGCGAGAGCTGGGAGGGAAATATGTGCAAACGTAGTATATAATGTACCCGCCCCTATGTACTATATAAGAGCTAAAGAATGATGTAACAAAGAGGCCATTTCACGAAGTTTGCCGAGCATTCCCGAGGTGACGACTTCGTGCAAGTCGCATGCGTGCTTGTGTACTATGGAAACACACACTAGGATGCTTGTCAGCTGCTACAAGTGCACGGCGCCATATGCAATTCTACCGAGTTGCGCAAAAAATTATATTTACAAAAATGATAGAGCATATTTTGATTGTCTTTTTTTATCATCATTATTAAAATATTCATTTTTTAAATTCATCTTTATTTTTTGTTATGAAACATACATAAAGTATATGACCCCATACGTCTTATCTTGATTAAAGCAAACATATTTCATTTAATTGTGTTTGTGTATACGATATTTCATTATATTACGTAATGTTTGATCTTATGATTTCATAATTGAATGCAGAAATTGAATGTAAAAAGAAATACATTACTATTAAAAACAAAAAGCAAATTATAATTGAAAGATGGTAAATGTTGGACAGACAAAGAATCGTGAAATTATAACGAAGAAAATGAATAGATTTGTAGAGAACACATCCGGTTTAACGCCATATTGTTCTTTACTAATCTCTCCCCCCTCCATTTTCCACTCTCCCCTCCCCGCGAACTTGTATCATTTGGCATAGCAACAGCACCAATAGAGAGCTACTATAAATAGCTACGATCTTCCAGTGTTGCCAAAACGACTGGCCCAGCGTATACCAGAGAAGAAATTGACTAATCAAGGCCGCGTCAGCCATTTTGCAATGGCAACGTTGCATCGTCAAAATCATTATATTGGTGATAAATTTTGATAAAAAAAAATATATATTTTAAATAAAAAAAACAATCAGTATTATTTTAATATTTATGTAATTAATATTTTTTTAAATATTTTTTTCAATTATTTATATACATAAAATTCAAAATATTTTAAGATTATTTGTAAAATATATATTTATATAATAATGCGTTTTGTATATTTTTTTGTTATATGTTTCTTGAAGTATCGATCAAGCGATGTTGCTTTTTCCCCACATATATCTATGTATTAATATATATACGACTGAAAAGTGAAAAAAAGAGAGACCAAGTGGGCGTGCCTGCAACGAGAACCGGCAACGTTGCAGCCGTAAATCATGATTAAAATAATAAGTATAATACATATGTAGTACATAGGAGGCTGTTGGGTATATGTATGTAAGAGCTGCGCAGAGGCACAAACAACGACGTACGTCTGACAACGTTCTGCGCAGCTTCAGTTCCCCCACTTTTATCATTTGACCCCCACTATTACGCAGAATCCCACGGGTAAGTTCCAGAAGTAGCAGTGGGGATGAAACGCGGGCGTTAGAGGAGGGAAGGGCACCTGAAACCGCGACTATATACCCCCGCGTGCGTTTACCAATCTTGGCACTTTGCCTGAAAGAGCATATCGACCGTGCAACGTTGTCACATCGTCTGCGCGATCTTACGCGTTGGCCCTGGCCACTCTTTGAGCGGTATGTACCTAGCTGCTGCAGCTGATCCCTAACACACGATGCGAAATCTGATTGAGGATATGGTTCACCTATTTATATGATTAGTGACGTGTCTAGTGTAAAATCTAATAATTTACTATCAAATAAGAGAAATGAAATGATAATATTATACTGAGGAGAAATAATAAAATTGCATATTTGCAAAATGTTTTATGTAAAACAAAAATGTAAAATTGTATAAAACTAATGTTTTTATAAATGAAGTTTTAAGTAACATTTTCAATTATTTCTTATCACTATATAAAAATGAATTTGTCAAAATTTATAAAATTGATGTAATAAATGAAATTATATTTATATTTTTCTATATTATTAGATAGATACAAGAAAGTTCGCACAATTAAATAGAATTTATAAATATATAATGTAATTATTTTTATTAAGAAAAATGATAATATTATTAATATTTTATTATTTTTTGTGATATTAGAAGTTTTAAAAGTCATAAAAATTTCTTTAGATATAAAATATATAAATATAATATAAAATATTTCTCCTTTTTTTGGATAATATTTTTATATTTTTAAATTTATTGTTTAAATTTTTAATTTATTGTCTACAATTTTATGCATATGTTTGTGTTTATTGTTATGAATCTATATAAACAATAATATATATTGTATATATTATTGCTGAAATTTTATTAAAACATCAATATTTTATAAAATATTTTATAAAATTAATTAAAATATATATAATAATATGCACGGAATAATAAAAATTTCTTTGTTTAAAACATGAGTGATGTTCATGACAATATAACAAGCATGCATAATAACATAACATATAAAGATTTTTTTTTCAATTTATTCAATATTTAAATATTTATATCACTGTAACATTCAATAATTAAAAAGGTGTAAAGAATTTTATTTATGTTAATGTATATATTTTTTTATTATTTTAAATCTAAAATTATATCACACACAGAATTTTTTTATATGTATAAATATATAATCACAAATAAAAACGTACTTAAATAATTTCTTGCGTATTTGATTATTTTTGTAACACAAAGTTAAATACATCCTTCACTTGTCACTGATCGGCTTCGACTAGAGACTGCTGCCAAGCAACGCTCTTATATAGCTCTCTGTGTATCGAACATCAAAACATGCGATTATTCAGCAATTAGTATAAACAGAAGTTTCTTTCTCTCATATAAAGTATATATTTGTAGAAAGTTAACAAATATTTTTCTAAATAATGAGTTTTATTATGTTAATTATTATAAATAAAGAAAATGTAAAAATTTGTTATAATAATATATATTTACACATAATTTAATATTTACTATTATATTTATTTAAATTAGCGGCGCATGCGTAATATATTTTATATTTAGAAATGCAATTCTGTAAGTAATAATATTGGTTGCAACAGATAGATGGCGACAGCTATTGGAAAGACTAGTAATCCTTTTTACCCAGAACGATAGAAATCTGCACATAGTAGAGAATTCTGATTCAAATTTCTTATTGATAAAACGTAATAAATTAACAAAATATATTGCAATATATTATTTTTGTAGATGCTAAATTTGTTTTTAAATATTATTTTCATTTTATTTTTAATGAAAATTATTCTAAATAATTGATTATTTGATTAAATTCGAAATATTTTGTACCTTTATATTCCATATAATAAAATATCAGTAGAATACAATAAAAACAAATTGAGAAATAAATTATTGTTTAAAAATATCAAATAAAAATGAAATTTTTAAAAGAATGATTGACTAGAAATAGTAAATATAATATAAACGTCAGATGGATTCCTAAAAATGGAAAGTTAAAGTCAACTGTGGTCATATGTCGTGGAGGACGATACTGGCACGTACCTAGGAGTACAGTCAGTACGGAAAACTAAACGTGCCGCTCTAGTCTGTAAGATTCGCAGTCGGCTAGATCGGCGGAATGCCTAGTGTCCCGTGCAGCTGCAGACAGACAACTCGATGCTACGGCATGGCCTAGTGGACGGCCTGAAATCGGAGATTTACAGAGGCTAAGTCCACGTAAAATGGCGCTATCCTCAATCGAGAGCATCTTAATCGACAGCAAAGCTTCGCCGGGGTCCAGAGGTACGCCCGTTCAAAGAACATGTACATAATCAGTGTCAACGATACCATCTACGTACATTTATCTACTTCCAATGTATTCCTTGAAAATTGAGTTGAATGTGATAAACTCTTTCGCGCCACCTGCTATAATTGTAATCAGCAGGCAAAGTGAAACGCCGAGGGAAAGCGTGAAAACTTCAAACCAAGAGAGTCGAAGCGAGATAACTTTTCCATCTAAGCCTGTTCACCTCGTCGTGTAACATGGTCGTGTGTCGTCTCATCGACAGTGCACATCGATAGTCGCACCGTGTATAACCTCTTCGCTGGTGTATCTTTGCATCCATCGATATGTGATTTTGATTAAAGCAAAAAATATTGTTGATTATCGAAAATGAGGAACGATATAACGGACATGCATACAGCGAATGCTGATAGCAGTACAGACGCCATATGGCTCGAGAAAAGGAGTCCGTCGCAGACGGCGCTCGACCAAGTGTCACTCAGTACGTTCCTAATGCATCTTTTTATAACGAACGAAAGATGTGGTTATAAGTTTAGTGTCATATTTTGTTCATAATGTACACGTGCACGCACATTCTTTGTTTCTTACTAAATGATGTCGATTGAAAAGAGCACGAAATTTTTTCTGTCAAATTCATTCATAAAATGAAATGTAGTAAAATAAAGTAGTCTTTTTCCAAGTATAATTGATGATTGTTTTATTTAAATATTGATATAATAGTGATTAAATGAAGATCGATTAATTGATGAATTAACATTTGTCACGTGTATAATGTTTTGAAACTTCTAATGTGTTACAAAACTGAGAGTGCGCAACTACATCAAATTTAAATTTGCAAATTTCTGAAAAATGTGATTTCTAATATAATAGTAGAAAATTATTCATATATAAAGTTGAACTAGACAAATTATTAATAATTAATAATTATGTGATATGTTAAAATTTTCATTTTTTGCAATTGAATGCAATTAATGATTAATTTAAAATAAATTATAATAAAAATGTGTTTATTAAACAAATTTTTTTTGTGTTTATTAAAGAAATTAATACCTATAATTACATACCAAATTAAAAAAATTCTAATTTTTTGTAACTAAAATAAGTGTTATATTAACATTTATGATTTTAATTATATAGTGATGATTTTAGTGCAGTTATACAATATTTTAGTTGATCAATACTCTTGCACATATATTTCGAACACGTGTAGTTTCACGTAAATTGACAGTGCCAAATTTCGTACAGTGTGAAGAATAATTTTATGTAAAAATTATTCTATAAATCTAATTTATAAATAAAATTCATATAGATATACATTAGATTATAGTTGATTATTGTTTTTATGGAACATACTAAAAAATGATAAAAAATAATTATTTATATTCATTTTTGATTATATATACATTTTTTAATAGTACATTGACATATGATAAATTTTTTCCCGCGCTCTTCTCCATCGACTATTTCTTTTAATTTTTATAGATACTAAATATTTTTAAATAATATAATTTATGAATATTAAATATTTTTAAATAATTTTTATCTTTATTTATTTTATAATTTCTTTAATAATTTTTTTTGAATAATTCATAAATTGTTTATGAATATTTGAGAAATAAATAATTTTTTATTAATTATTATTATTGTAATTATATTATTTTTATTATTATTATAATTATATGCTTATTGTTTTAATATTTAATAATATGAATATTATTCGTTGACAAAAGATAAATATATTTTATTTATGTTCTATTCTTTTTAATCTAATTTAATTAATTTAATAATTTTTATTTTATTCTTTTTAATCTAATAGTATTTAAATTTTTAATATTTGATTATTTAATTATTGATTAGCAATTTTAATTGAAGATAATATATTTAGAATATTTAGAAGAAAAATTATTTTATATATGTATTTAATTATTTATATAAATATTAATATTATTTAATATTATTATATTAATTATATTAATGTAATTTATTATTATAGTTATAATTATTCTTATAATATATTATATATATATCGATTATTATCATAATATACATATCATAATATAATATACATATATATAATATATATATCTAAAATTGAATGCTTATCTATGAAATTACAGGTAATCATAATTCTTTCAAAAAATTGTAGATATAATAATATTAAGTTAAAAATTTAAAATATTCATTTTATAGTTCACTATCATTGAAAATAATAAAAATATTTTTTGCATTTTTCAGGTTTTGATAAAGTTGTTGTTAAGCAAGAACATCCCGATGAAGCGGAAATCCGAGAATTGGCTGCCAAAATGGTGGAAGCAAACAAGGCGAAAATGGTCAGCGGGATACCAGGAACACCGCAACAACAAAGGCCTCCACAATGTCTCCTTCCACAATCAAATCTTCCTGGTATTTTAGGATATTTGAATAAACGGCCGGCAGATTCATCAACTGCTGTGGCAACGAAACCTCCTTCTACTGAGGGCAAAGTACCACCTGATGATGAGAGTCAACGAGGACGCTTCGGATGGACAAGCTTTGACGATTGTCATATACCATATATATTTCGCTCTGGCGAGAAGTATTGTGCTGTACGAATCTTAGAATCTAAGTTGTTGAACAAGTACCTGAGTTACCTACACTCGGATATCTACAGTTGTACGTGTATAAGAAGTTATTATATTACGGAAGCGGAAAGCAAATTATTCACTGATATAAATGTGAAACATTGTGAGAATCAATTTGGAAGAGAACCATTTACATGTAAAGATCTGGTGGTTCGACTTTCGGACGCGAAGGAGTTTTATACATTTTTGGATGTGTGTTATACGAAATTAACAGCAGGCACGAATCCTAATGTATCAAGTGGGCATAAAGCCGACAAATGTGGGTTTATTCGAATAAACAAGGAATCTGTAGTACCTTATACAGTAAAAGACGGTCTTCAATATGTCCCTTTATTTTATTTTGAAGGCGAGACTGAGAATCTCAAATTAAAAGCGGAGAAACTGGAAGGTTGGGACTTATCGTATTTAAAATTTTGTTGCAAAGTACAGGGTATTCGTAATGAATTGTTCGCAAGTGAGACATGCTCGGTGATTAGTTTGAATGACATTAAAAGTTATTTTCCTCCCGGTACGGGATTTGAAGACTATTGGCCAACTAAAGTGATGGACTCTCAATTATTAGTGAATAGCAAAGGTGGTGGTAGCGGTGGCGGTTGGACAAAACAACCTCCGACACCGCCGGCGACAAAACCAGTTTCCGTACAAAATAGTGCGAATAAAGCGACGGTTAATGCACGATCAACCCCTATGCATAATATGATACCACGTGGATCTGTCGCAAATACATCGCAAGTACAACGTGTCAGTCAACCCAGACCTGTTACAACGACCCATCCTGCGCATTCTTCACCAACAGCACTTCCGTCCGGAAGATCGAATATTGTTACACAACCAATGTTAAACACCGTGCAAAGTGTTAATGGTTGGACGGGTCTCGTTGGTGGTCAACCTACCTTCCAAACAGCACTTGTTTCTCAACCTAGTTCTATAATACGAATGCCCTCATCTTTAAATATGCACAATGTAAGTTCTTTTCAATAATATATTTTTTTTAATAATATAATAAAAAATTAAAAATATTATTTAATTGTGAATATAAATTTAAAAAAATATTTTTTGGTGTGTTAGAATTTTAATAAAAAGTTGTTACAAAAGCAATTATTTTAAATAATCAAATTAATTTCTTATTAAAATTTTAATGCATATAAAAATAATCTTTTTGATATTTACTTATTAATTAAAATATTCTTCATTCTTTTTTTTAAAAAAATTAAATTTAAATAAATTTAAATAAAAAAATATTAATATAAATAGTTTCTTTAATATATTTAAAGCTTTATAATTAATTATTAATTATTTTTTTCACAAATGATAGTATGAAATTTCATATTATAGCAAATATCGACACCACCAAAAAATTATTCGCAACAATCTAGTAGGAGCAGAGGGGGTGGTGGTAGTGCAGCAGCTCAGTACCCTGGAGTATATCCAGTTACAACTATGCAGAATGTTGCTCAGGCTCAGCCACCCCCTCTTGTCAGAGCAACAGTTCATTCCAGTCAACCTAATCTTGGGTAAGCAATAAAAGGGTTTCTTAAAGCTATGTTTTTAATACATATCTATATATGTTTTTTTTAATTGAAGCTTTAAAATATTCAAGGCAAGAATTTTTTTATTTCTAATGTTAAGCATTTTCTCTTACACAGCATTATCAATATTTTATGCTTGCTTTCAGTTGATAGTGATTAAAAATAGTAAATTATATATTAGATGTGAGTTTAATATTAAAAAGCACATAAAATTTATTCAAATTCACGTAATATATATGTATGTATAATATATATATATATATATATATACATATTATTTTCTATTTGACAGTTATTTATTTCTAATATATATATTTTTTAATTATTATTTGATATAAAATGTGATTCCATTATTATTAAAATATAAATTGATTTTTTTATTATTTATATTATTATTATAAAAAATATTCTTTGTATTTATTACTCACATTGTATATAGTTTACAAATGCATATGAAAAGTTTGAAATAGCTTTATTTAAAAAAGTGATCTTAATATGATGTATAGAATAAAATGAGCATGCAGTGTTAAATTTTAGGGAAACACTTATTTATTTGGCATATATATTTATATTTGCAAAAAAATTATTATTTATTATGTGGAAAACCTGCACTATAGCTTCTTGCATTTGTACATACAACGTATGATTTTTTTGTATAGTTATCCAACCTATGGGAAGGATGACTGGTGAGTCCCTGTAAAATGTACTATAGTCATGATTACTACACAAAAGTAAGATAGCATGCACAAGAACATTATAATTAACAAATTTTTGTTATATTATATATTTATATACAAATCTACAATAATTATATATTGCTTATATTGCCTTTTCAAACAGTACTTCTATTTCTAATTTTTTTATTAATTCTTTTATTTATTTATATATATAGTATATATAATTTATATGTATATATATATAATATATTTATATATATTATAT